CTTATCGAACAAGACCTAGTAATTTGATGACAGTTCTACAAGTTGAGTGCCTTTGGTTTGAGTGCTAGCTGCTTTGTCGCAGGGAAAAGTCAACTGACAAGTGACAGACACGAGATATAGTTACACATCATCAAAGGTAGAAGACCAAGGAAACGAAATAAAATAAAAATACAAGAACGCAGAGTGCTTAAGCATTAAAAACATATTTGCCTTTGCCCTTTGTAAAATGGATGTATTGCTTCTGAACAAATATCAGGCCCGTGTTTTACTTCAAAGTAACATTTTCATCTGTTCCTTCATTTGATCCTGTTGCGCCAGGGTAACAGAGACCAATAACCGGTTCAGCAACAGCATGTCCTCAATAAAACAATGTCTGAACAGTAATGTTTTGACATTGTTCCAAAGCCTTCTCTGTTACAATAACCTCTTCACGAGAAAACGTCTCAATTTACAACACCTCAATCCGCGCTCGGCTAATCCCCTAAATCCGGGTAAATCCGGCGTTCCCTGTCAGCGGCGACGGGTGACGGCAGCGAACCAGTCCAGCGCGCCTGTCCTCCCGTCACATTAGCAGAGGCCGCCAGCACATTGGCGACACTGCTGACTGATTTACCACCTCTGGGTGCGAGGCCGATATTTCACCGGCTCCGCCGCGCCCGGCCGGCGTCCAAACGGACCGGCGCGGCGTTGCCGACCGCGCGATGGGACAGCTAAATCACGCAGGATAACGGCCCGAGCTGTGTCGACCAGCCGCGCTGTTCCCGTCCGTCAGCCGGCTTCGGCGAACTCCGAGCACATAATCGCCATTTGCCACCCAATCGCAGGTATGAGGGATGCCGCCGCTGCACGCGCGTCATAGGGTGACCGCACCATCAAACAGTAAACAGGCCATTCGGGAGCGGCGCTGAATGTGGCGTCAGGCCGGAATGGCCACAGATGATGGCAGGTCGGGATTATGTCCGACTATGGGGACCGAGGGCAGACGGCAGTGTTCGGGGCGGAGCGGGCGTCTCCGCTGACCAGCCGACGCCCGCAAACAAGCTGTTCCACTCGACTGGAGTTGACAGCGGCGGACGGCGGGACGTGTTTCCGGCTGAGCTGCGGACAGAGCCGTTAATTTGGTGGCATTTTACGTCATGATGATTACGTGAGTCATTACTCATTTCGCACACATCGGGAAGGTCGTTTGACCCCTAAAATAATTGAATATAGAGGCTACAATTTTAGCCGAAAGTAAGAATAAAAATAATTACATTTTACAGACACCGCGCAGACACATTTAGGAACTTAATCGAGACAGGAGCTTCAAAAATAGCATGATGGATAAAATGTAGCACCCAGGATAAGATGAAAAAAAACATTGAAACACTCCCAACTTCCGGACAAGCCAGCCAGTCAAGGCCGCAGCCGCAATATCCTCAGCGCAGCCCACACCTCCGAGTCTCCCATCTCTCCCCGGGAGGGATGCTCACACCTGGTCGGTCTCACCGACAGCCGCGATACTGGCGTTTCCTTGCACGATCCCGCCCTACCGCTTCCCTCCCAGACGGTCCGAGACTGGCGCGGAGCTACTGTGAAACGACAGCTACCCTCTCCGATCAGAAACATCACCCAACTGCCGCTCTCCTCCAGACGTCAGCTTATCGCTGACGTGAGCTCAAGTGAAACTATCAAAGACATCAGCGCTCCACCCGCCGACCGGTTACTGCTGTGGACCACTGAACCAGGGTTGTATACCAATCAAGTCGATTGAATTGATTGATTTGTTTCAACGCGTATTTTGAGTTGATTGGATTGAGTCGATTGACTTTTCAAGATGACTGGTTGACTGACTCGTTTGACTTTAGCGACTGGTTGACTGATTTGATTCCCGAAAATTAGAGTGACTCGTATGATTGAGTCGATTGAATGGAAAGTTCAAATAAGTTTTAGTTGACGAAAAATAATGCCACCAATTGATGACATCAAAGATCACAAAACTACACTGAAAACTGCTTGTCATCACAACTGCAATATGGGGTAGAAGGCCAAATAAAGAACAGGGCCTAAACATGAACAGCCAACTTTGACTTTCAACTGCAATAACTGCTCCAATCCTGGTGATAGAACCTGGCGATGCACCTACCTACCTTTCTGCACTCAGCAGGAAACGTTTTTTTTTTTTAATCCTGACTAAAAAGTGCAAGGCCCTATATACTAATAAAGTGTGATTAATTAAAATAATTCACATCTCCACATCTCCTCAGAAACAACCCACTGAACTCTATAAATATCTGAAACCCCTACAAAAATAACTGAAACAAAAGCGCCGTTATCGTCTGCTAATTACGTTTACGTACCTAATTAATAGCTAATTTGCTGCATTGTTTAACCCGCGCCCTGCTGGGGGGGGGGGGGTGTTTGAACACCCCCCCCCCCTGTGGTTTTTCGCGAATATCTCAAAAACGGCGGCGCGGAGCGCCGCCGTTTTTGGTACACCTTACCATACATCAATTCTACACATGTTGTGAAAATTTCAGACCAAGGTCATTCAAGGTCAGGTCACCAGGTCACTTGAAGTGACCTCACCTCATAAAAACTTTCAATGTCTGTCATAGCTACACCGAGTGACCGATCGCTTTGAAACTTTCAGCGATTGCTAAGAGCAATAGCATGTACAAAATGTATATCTCAGAATTTTGATATCGATGACCTAAGGTCAGGTCAATTTTGCGACCTCCCCATTATAAGTCAATGGGAGAAAATTGAAATGCGCCTCTTTTGGATGAAAGACATTATAAACACTCCCAAACACCGAATTACAAGTGGTTTAGACACACTGAACTTGAAAATGGTGTCCGTGACCCTTGTTTATACCCTGAGGTCATCTTAGGTCACGAATGGTATCTAACAGTTTTTCGCAAATAACTTTTGATAGAGGCATGCTAGAGCGATGAAAACGCCTTAGATGTGTTCAGCTCGACGATACGGATCGACTGATATGCAACATGACCCTTTCCGGTCAGGTCATGACCTTGACCTGAGGTCAAATTTTCAAGTTGACCTTTCAAGGTCAAGACATAGTTCATTCGATGCGTCTTGACGAGAGGAACACGATGCCGGTAAAAGTAAGCTCGTACAAGGCTTGGGTCAAAAGTTATTGCAGAAAAACTGTTTTCGAAAAAATCGGCTATTTTTGCAGTTTTTGCCCCCTGCAGGCAAAACCGTTGACGTTAGGTCAAATCTGAGAGAATTACTCAGAAAGGGCGTTAATAGGGCTATCGAATGCGCTTTTCCGCGGCGCTGTAGCTCTATTGGTTCGCGAGTTATGCGTTGGCTTCTTGGAAATTTTCGACATTCGACCTGGAAATCGGCGAAATTTTGCCTTCAATGACCTCTGGTGACCTGACCTTTGACCTGACCAAAAAATTGACCGAAGTGATTTCGTCATTATTTTTGACGCTCTTTCGAACGCCGCCTTCCGCGTATCGCTACGTGGCCCAGGAGCCGAGTTACAAGGGGGGGGGGGGTGTTCAAACACCCCCCCCCCCAGCAGGGCGTGGAAATCCAGGGGCCATATTCACGTCGATCATTTTCGTAAGAATTTTCTTAAGTTTGACCTACTTCTTAAGTAAATTTTTTCATTCACGTGAACTCCGTCGATAAAAACTTAAGAAGTGTCGACGTGAATACCAAATTATACTTACGAAAGAAAATCGACTTACGAAGTCGACGTGAATACGGCCCCAGGACCCCCAGCAGGGCGCGGGTTAATTTGCAGCAGAACGTTTGTTGATCCTTTTCTCCTGAGAGCCTAAGCATAACATATTTAATATTTTTCATTTTCCTTAAAATATTTTACCGAATATTATTAATAGTGGTGTTATTTCAAATGAAATAATAATTAAAACGAAATCGGTGTTGTACAACCGATTTATTTTATGATGATCTACCATACTACATGATAATCAATGACGTCATCTTACCAAAAAATCAAAAGGCGTAGAATAAGGATTTATAAAAGCTTAGCATACTTATTGGCAAAACACAGTCGCACCGTGCCGTTTTCGCGTTTTAACTTTCCTTCACCATGATCTTGCAATTTATCAACTTTATTTCATAAATGTACCAGATTTATCACAGGCTATATTAATAAGGAAAGGAAGGAATGATTGTATTTAGGGCCTTGGATTGACCTACCTCACAGGTACCTATCTACCTTCGTTGGTACTGTTGGTAGCACATCTAGGCAGGTAAGTAGGTACCTACCTGCTTTCCTGCTGTCTTCATAAAGCATACCTAATGAAGTTGTCAAATTTGTAGCACATTTTCAACACTTTCATATGGTGTCAGTGTGGCATGAAACCTAGCTAGGTTCATTATGTTCAGGAATCAGGATTCATTTCAGAAGAGCTCCGCATAACTCACATAAGAGACAGACAGGAGCTTCATGGGGTAGATGGCCTGATGACTTAGCTGGAATATGGCCAAAATTAAATTGACAACTTTTAGGTGAAAGGTGGTGATTTGGGTTAAGGGGCGAGTCAACTACTGGGTTATTTTGCACCCATTAAATGAAACTTCTGCTCCAATTCTACCCATTGAACCTCAATATCATGATCCACCTGTCCATTACTACATAGGTATCCTTCCTTATTACATAGAAACTTTGAATGGCATGGTAATTTATAATTTTAAATGACAATATTTTCATGTTTCTTCTGTAGGTAGGTCGGTAGGTAGGTAGGTACGTACACAAGACTGCTATGGACACTTTTCCAAGTTGGTGGGGCAAAAAACCTAATGTATGTGTTGGTTTGAGTCGTTTGATTGAGTTGATTGATTCCTTTCATTGTCGCGTTTGAGTCGATTGAATCAATTCCCGAAAACTGCTCTGACTTGATTGATTTGATTGGTTTCCCAAATTTGTCGTGATTGAATTGATTGCTATTGATTGAGTCGTATACAACCCTGCACTGAACATCAGCTCCATCAATCCATCATCTTCTGAAGCTTCCGACATGAGTCCCACAGTTCTGCTTGCGTTTCTCGTCGCCGCCGTCGCCGGCGCTGAGGCCGCGTGTCCAGCCGACTGGGTGGAGCTGAACGGCGACTGCTACTGGTGGACCCCCTCCTCCATCAGCGGATCTCAGCTTGCAGACGCCTGCCGCGCCGTCCTCACCGACGCCGTGCCCGTGTCCGTTCACTCTGCCGCGCAGAACTCCCAGCTGGCTGAGAGTCTGGTGCACGGCTTCCCAGTCTGGCTGGGTCTTTACCGCCCCGACGGCAGCGGCGCCGAGTTCGCATGGACTGACGGCTCACAGATCGACTTCCAGTTTTGGGCGGACGGTCAGCCGGCCGGCGACGGTGAGCTGTGTGTCTACATCAACGCCGACCCGCAGACGGGCACCTGGGCCGCCTGCGACTGCCAGCAGTGGATGCTGCCCTACATGTGCCGGCTGCCTGGCGGTGCGGCGAGCAGAGGCTGAGAGGGAAAACACCACCGTACCCGGCCGCGCGGGGCTTCCGCGGGGGAGAACTGACATTTGAGGAGCGTTCGGTGAGCCGACACTCGAGGAGGGTTGGGTGCTATTGGTGAGCCGACATTTCGGCAGCGTGTGGTGTTTGAGGAAGGGTATACAGAATGAGCGCTGTGGAACGAGCTAGTACATATAGATCGCACTAGAACGCACTAGTTCAGATCAGTATGGTATTATCTACTATATTATCATGTTTCAACCCTGACATTGGTGCTGGTACCAAATGCAAACGCCGAGAAGCTCTTGACACTTTTTCTCAATCACTGGGTCGCCTATTCCTTCAAAAGCGAACTGCGAGGCTGGACTGAACCGCTATTTGACAATCGGTTTTGCCCGGAGCACCGGCATCCCTGAGGCAGCTTATTGTTCACGAAGACTGGACCTTTATGATGCTTATTTCCGCCGAAGGAGACTATCCTTTCTTGATTCGTGGAACGCACTGCCACTCCCTGGTATGCGATTGAAATTTCTAGTGACGTAGGTACGCCAACACCTGCCTTGTATCCATCCGAGGCTAAATGATGACCCATATTGCGCATGCCACGTAAAAGGCCAGGGGCAAAATGGGTATAAAAAGTCATCATATTGTGCTTAGAATGCGTCTTACGCCTAATAAGAACCAGGATCTTGCTACACAGTCACGAAACAGCCTGGATTAAGAAGACACAACGAATAGAGAAACGAAGAGAAACATTAAGCATGACTCAATTACGACTGGTGGTTATCAGAATAAACCACCTACGAAGTACAAACCAAAGTTGAGCCCATCCTTATCACCCAAACAAGAACGTATCTTTTCGTCATAGGAATGAATGTGACCAAGGCGTCCACCGACAAACTACCAAAATTCATCGTATTTACTTGGTATTTACAATGCCAAACACAAGACAAGGATCTATCGCACGCGGAATACTTTCAAGCCGCCTTATGTTCCATACGAGTCGATCTACCCTGTAATGATCAGTATCGTTTCCCTGTGATGCGGCACTTAACCTTCCATCGCTGAGCGACCCTTTGGTCAAACCGCTGAATGGTCGACCCCTGCAAAGCGCGCTGGAAGCCAGAAATGACTGAGCCCGCACCGACGGTGTGCGATTATTTTGCACCGGAACACCGGTAATGGCTCTCAGAACGCTTCTGGGCGAATGAAAGCCCTAATAGCGAGGCGAACTTGGCTCTATACCGGCGCATTGAAAGCTAGTAACCTCAAGTATTATGGAGGGCGGTACCGAAAGTGTGGCGAAATGCAGCAGCACTACGCAGCTTTATATCTATATTAAATAAATATTGAAAAGTCGTAAAGCTCGCACAAAATGGCAATATCACCGGGTTAAAGAGGAAGGATCAACTGTGGCAGTCTGACGAAAAGATGCCTTAAAGAAAAGGTGCTCTGATTTGACGGTTACCTATAGCATACCTGCTTGTGCATAACCATAGACTTCTGTGCAACAAATGTCCGCCAATAAAACGAAACTATTTCAACCGAGAAGATGTGATTTTACAATAAAAACAAATGATGTTTTTTTGTTATTTAAGACCGCAAGAGCTATAAATCAGGCATTTTGAGCAAACTAAAACAAGGTACCGTAAAGTGGGGCTATTTGAGACAGTGGGGCTATTTGAGACAGTATTTAAAATCGCTATAAAATGAAGATCGTTTGATTTTTGTGTGATATTTTTGCTCAAGTAGGTGAGGAATCGAGCAGTAAATCGCCTGAGCAAAAAAATAAGCATTAATTTTAAGTGGTTTTTATTTTATAGCAATTTTAAATACTGTCTCAAATAGCCCCACTGTTTCAAATAGCCCCACCTTACGGTATCCATGAATACCTAAATAGAAACCACTATGTCATGTCATTTTGCAATGCACAGTAATGAAAGCAGAGTAAGCAGTACAATAACGCCAATAAAGCCCGATGCATGAACTCAAAGATTGTCAAATTATTTTAAAATATTTACATAATTAAGAAATTATTTTAAAAATATAATACTAAAGATCAAAATCAGTCACACACCCGCGCTATTGGCTCCCAGCAATGCATCTCAGCCTCATATGTGGCGATGTGGGTTCAGCAAATACAATATCGCGATATTGTCGAGCCAACAAAGAATATCACAAGAAGTCGACACGTTGTCACAAATGTGACGTGTTCCCCGGCCGCGCCCACGTCGGCCTGTCCTGCACCATTCGGTCCCAGTTGTCGGTCCCTGGGCCGGGTCAGGACAGTGCAGGCCGGGACACTGACTCTAGTGGACAGGAGCGGTGGGTGGGCGGCCGGGCGGAGTCTGACGCCGTGTTCGAGAGCCCCGGCACGGCCCAGCCGCTGTCGGCCGACCCACAACACCTCTCTGCTGAAACTAGGACCGTGTGTCGATAGCCTGCAGCCATTCGCGGCGGTCGGAGATGAAGCGCCAGTCAGAACTGGCTCCAGTCAGCTCACAAACGAGCCAACCAGGCAGAGGGCAGACCGGGGAGGAGGCAGCCGACCAGGGAAGGAATCCCAGGCATGGCGGTTGCCATCGCATAGATTATGTGGGTGGGTGATCTTCCCGAACAAAAATAAAGGATCAATAATATGAAGAGTTAAAACTGACTAAAATAAAATAGCATCTAGCAGGGACGGCCCCAAGACGACAGTTCCAACACAGTGCCACCGGCCCCGGCATCGAGTCTCTAGCAGCCAGCGCCGTTCGGGAGGTGGTAGAAAAGGCAAGCAAATTAAATCCAGACGAATTCAAACGAATTTAATTAAATTAGGCCTGCTAGAACCAAACCGAGCGAAATTAATGTTTGATTAATTCAATTCAGCGCAGAGTATCACACCCCAGAAAACCTAAAACAAACACATTAATCTGGAAAACATTTTGAAGCGTGCTCTTACTGGTTTCAGCAAATTTTCACATGAGCGAAACATCCAGGAGCGAAAATGGCCACAGCGGAGTGCACATACTATATGAGTGGGGTAGCAAATTTCCAGAAGAATGATATGAATGAATACTGGAAGCAAGTCTGTCAGGCTGGCCACAAATGACCTGAACAACTCGATAAATGGTGGCTTCATCGAAGAACTTGGAAACCAATGTTTTCCACAGAACTGCGGAGAATAATTTAAAGAAACAAGCACAGCTCCTAACTCAAACCATCATAAGATGCGATTTTCAACAGCAGAAACCTAAACTGAGGCCAGTCTTCCTATTTACTCTCAGGTAAATGTCAGAGTCGTACGGAAACAACAAGAGCGCATATTCATTCCAAACCTGAGCATCAAACGCCACGCCTTTTACGGGACGCGTTTGAAAAAAAAAATCGTCGCGAGTGTGTGAAAATTGTCACGGCAGGTCATTTTGCTTTGATGTTTAAGTTAGCTTGATGTTCACCTCTGGATAAATTAGCTCGCCTTGAGCTTTGGCTGACATTTATCGGTAAAATGATGCGGTTCGGAATAGAGGCGCGTTACGGATGTGGACGTAAAATGGCGTGCGCACAATGCCTGATATGAATCCGGCTGAAATGGTCGAAACTTTTTGCTACTGTCTACTTCCTCACAGACCGTAAAAATAACCATAAACGCGGAATCGAAGCCTTCCGATTCGAACAAAGGCGGACACAAACCGTCTAACATGAGCCAAATAGCAAGGCGCTGGTTACATTGGGGAGCTGCAGGCGCCGATCAGTGCCTTCATTGCGCCGGCTCTGTTCTGACTATGTCATAATTTAACTTGATCCTGACAAGCCAAAGCTCTTCGACGACTCCGGCAGGACCAGACTCCAAGACTACCAACAGCCACACCCAAGAGACTTCCTCGCGTCGACCTCGGCCCGTCTTTGTTTACGGGCAATGATGAAGCATCTCGAGTGCCTGCCGTCCCCGACTCTGTCAATTACTACGTCCCCGGGCCAATACCACGCGCCCCGGCCCGCCGGAGCGGCCCATACTCCCGGCGGAAGTCAATACTCTCACGGAGCACCGGATAATTTCCGTAATTTAAGCCAGTGTGCTCCAGTATCGGGCTGATAAACCCCACGCAGCCGGGCGGCCGACACGGCGTCACAAAGCGCCGGCGGCGGGCGCACAATGCCGCGGCCGACCCGGCGCGCTGAGACAATCATACTCATACTCATACTCATACTCATACTCATATATTTCGGTTACATCCAAGAAATTGGGTTTTCAGTAAACCACGTCATACATTCAGTAGTTCAAAACTCATACCTGTACATACAGGACAGATTCTATAGAGGTTAAAACACACCACACATGATAAACTAACTGACCACATTGACCTAGCGCAGCCGGATTAAACATGCCGTTTCTTAACCATTTTACGGAACGCCGCCAGACCGGTGCAGCCTCGAACAGGCGCAGGCAACTCATTCCATGAACGAGTTGCGCGACAGATGAATGAGCGCCGGGCAAGCTCAGTTCGCACGCGCGGGACATGAAGCTGACCGTCACTGGTTGCCCTAGTGTTGCGGCTCGACACCGCAGTACGGTGGACGATGCGGCTGCGGATCGAATCAGGGGCATGCGAGTCATGCATCAGTTTAAATATAACATGCAGATCATGCTCACGCAGTAGCTCCTGTACAGCAGGCCATCCCAGTTCCTTGCGGGACGCTGTCACACGGTCGCAACGCCTGAGGTTCGTTACGATTCTGACACAGAAGTTTATGCATTTCTGCAGTCTCCTGAGCTGTGTGACTGTGCAACCGCCCCATACAGACATGCAGTACGTTATTAGCGGGAAGACTAGCGCTTCAATCAGGAGCTTACGGGTCTCGCGCGGCACGCGGTGTCGAATCCTTGACAGACCGATCAGTACACTATAGCACCGGCGCAAAATGTATGATATGTGTTTGTCCCATGTCATGGCGTCGTCCACGGCGACGCCCAGCACCCTCGCCGACTGTACCGGGAAAATTTGAGAGTTTCCAAAATGGATATGGA